AGGGGGTCGCAGGTCAGCATCCATAGGACGGCCCCGAGCAGGAAGGGACAAGGGCTCCGCGTGGAGAAAGGGCAAGGGGCCAGGACACGGACGGGGACTCTGGGCGCCTAGAAATCCCCACGCACTGGGAGAGGGAGCCGAGGCTTTTGTCCACGAGCTCCTGCAGGCCTCTGGGTGAGAGCAGCTGGGAGGTCAGCGTCAGCTCCCCAGCACCTCCAGCCTGCTTCAGCAGCCAGAGAAAGCGCTCGGGTGACGGGCCGCGGTCACTGACGGCGGGGTGGCCTTGTCTACGCTGCACGTGAGTGATGGAGGCGGAGAGCAGGCACTGGCAGTGGTGCCTGAGAGGTGTTTTACACACCCGTCCCTTTTGCTTTTGTCCCCTTCCCAGTAAGATTGTCAGATTTTCAAATTCATCTCACTTATGAAGAACAAATCGACTCGTCTCAGCCCATGGTCCCCTCTGGCATATCCAAACACATCAAGGTGCTCGTCAGAACTAAAGCATCCTCCGTGGAAGGCCCTTTTGGGATTTCACTGCCATTGTTTTCTCTTGATTACCCAAAAGGCAGTGCTTTTCTCTGAGTAGTTAATTCTTCTCTGGTCCACTAGCTAGGTCTCTTCTTTTTCTGCTCTTGAAACCAGATGAGGGTGCAAGCTTTGAGTGTCTCTTGTGAACTTTCTCACCATGACTCCCCAAGAGAGGTGTTATCCCCATGTTCTGAGGAAACAGGTTCAGAAAGAGGTGTGCTGTGTGCTTATATGGGTATGCGTGCAGTCGCTAAGTCATGTCCGACTCTCGGTGACCTCATGGGCTGTAGCCTGCCGGCTCCTCTGTCCATGGATTTCCAAGGGAAGCATACTGGAGTGGGTTGTCATTTCCTCCTCCAGGGGACCTTCCTGACCCAGGGATCGAACCCGTGTCCCGCGCAGCTCTAGCATTGGCAGGTGGCGTCTTTACCACAGAGCCACCTGGGAAGCCCCACTTTGTCCCAAACCACAACCCAGAATCCTTCTGACTTTTGTGCCCTTTCTAACTGCTTGAAACAGTCTGGAGGATGCTTTTGGAGACCAAGTTTACTGGGACACTTGAGTGGTACCTAGGAAAATGCAACAGCCCATTAATTTAATTGATTCCTGGAAGAGCTGGGACATAGATCCACCATCTCCACACGTCTCGATCTTGTGGATTGTACTGTAGCCATGGTAAACAATTTAGACCAGTTCCATCATGACACAAAGCTTCCTCTTGGCTATTTCTACAACTTCATATTGAATAGAAGGAAATCGCTTAAACCCTCAAACACAGGCTGGCAGGAGGCGAATGCCTCGCTTGGCATCCTGCCCTCATGCGTCCCACACCAGCAGCTGGGACCATCTGCTCCCCTTCAACTCCCAGGCCGGACACCCTCTCTGCCCTCCACCATCAGTCAGCTCACGGTTCCCACTCCAGGCCCAGCTTTAAAAGGAGAGCCCTGATTGCTGACAAACATGGTCTGACTTCCCAGGTGAAATAAATACAAAATTAGAAGTATTAACATGCATCTATCTCATCATTTATAGGAAACAAATGTGCTCTTGGGATGTTTAGATTCTAGTGAACTGGAAATTATCAGATACCAACAAAGTATAAAATGTGTACACAGGACTTCCCTGCCACAGTAGTAAAGGAAACTGCTACCTTATGCATATGTATCTTGGACTGATAAATTGGACCACAATCAAGCCCACCAATCAAAATGCATCTGTTCATTCATGCATCAGGTAACATGCATAAGTGAGGACAACCAGGTTTGTTTCATCATGGCATTTTAGTTTTCATTCTTTCAATGTAGATATACTTAATCTGTGTATTAAACATGAAGAAATATGTTCTTTCACATCTTTCTTGAAACATGCCCCCTTCTCTATCTGCATATCTTTCACCCCTATTTTTAACAGAGACATGAGCACTCAATCTATTCCACTTTTCCCTTTCTTATAAAAGGCAGAGTGCATATGTGATGATAAATGGCAAATGATTCTTAGTTTTGGTGTTGGGGAACAATAGGGATGGTAGTGAAACTGAAAGTTAGTCAGGTCTGACTCTGCAACCCCATGAACTATACAGTCCATGGAATTCTCCAGGCCAGAATACTGGAGTGGGTAGCATTTCCCTTCTTCAGGGGATCGTCCCAACCCAGGGATCGAACCCAGGTCTCCCTCATAGAAGGCGGATTCTTTACCAGCTGAGCCACATGGGAAGCCCAAGAATACTGGAGTGGGTAGCCTATCCCTGCTCCAGCAGACCTTCCCGACCCAGGAATCAAACCTTGGTCTCCTGCATTGCAGGTGGATTCTTTGCCAACTGAGCTATCAGGGAAGCCAGGGATGGTAGGGACCAAGACAAACTGGAGAAACTGGCCTTGACTGAAGGTAGGAACCTCTTTCAATGCAAATCAATCACTGGCACAAGGAATACAAGTCCCATGTTACCAGGTTTTCCAAAAATTTAAAAAGAAGCCAGAAATCTGGATTTTAACACAAACCAACTAATTATCAAATATAATGCTAACAAATTTAATTTGGAGATTGACACCAGACACCTGAACAATACCTATCTATGAGCCAAACTGAGCCAACAGTTCACAGCCTTCAGTTTTAAGTGTGAAACAGAACAATAGAACTATTATATAACCATAGTTGATGTGACTCTTTTGAAGCAATATAGAATTATAGTTCTAAGAAAGTCAATTATATTCCCAGTCAATATGGTACTTTATAAACAATAAAAAATATAGAACTAAGAAGGCAAATTCCTTATGGTTAGTAAATCATAATAAAATGATATGTCCAGCACACCGTGACTGCGAGTGGGAAAGAATTCATACTCACAGAGAATACGAAGAGCTAAGCAAGATGCCTGACCATGCAGTTAGAACACACTGGATCTGGCGTATTAGTTTCACGTGGGCCATCCTAGCTCCAGAGCTGCCTTGGCTGTTTTTCCCCTCCCTCCTGCTTGCACCCACAGACCCCCAGTCTGGGTTAACTTAGCTACTCTATTGAAGCCTCTCCTGCCTTCTCCTGGCCATGCTGAATTTGATTTCTATTTTGAAGACTGTGCATTAACCCCAGCCCTGACCCCTCACATCTGCACAGCACTTTACAGCGGACAGAGCACTGCTGCATGCACGTGATCTCACCGAGACTCACAGCCACGCACTCACAGCAAGATCGTTACATCCATTTTATAGATGATGAAATAAAAAGTCAAGTGAGGACAGGATCTGCCCAGTGTGGGCCAGAACTGGACGGGAATCCAGGCTCCTGACTCCAGGCCTGAGCTCCCTGTGGAGCACTTACTGCTGCGGGTGTTAACCCCTTCATGCCCGAGTGCTCCATAACTCCAGTGCGACTTTGCTCTTGAGGCTGGGGAAATGGGTCTCATCGTGTTGTTACAGACAGGTAGCATTTGACAGAGTGGTGAAGAGCATGGGTGTTGGCCACCGTCATGCACTGGTGTGGGCACGTTTTAGACATCAGCCTCCTCATCTATGAATTGAGGACCACTGAAGAACCACCCACCCAGGACTGTTGCATGGATGGACCGTTGTCAGCACAGCATTTAGCACCGGGCCTGGGACTCAGAACATGTTAGCCACTATGTCCACGCCATCCCATCTCCGCAGGGCCAGCTCAAGTCTCCTCACTTGTCATCTAGAGATGAAAACCAGGAACCGACCACAGAGCCACAGCCCAGAGTGGCTACTTGGTATATGAGGGAGAGAGGACCCTGCGCCTGCCTGGCTTCAGGACTGTCCGAGTCTCAGCTGCCCTCAGCTGCGCCTCCTCTCCCCCAGATATCTCACACTACTGGGCCGGGCGGTAATCATAGCAAAGAGCCACCATCCGAGGGTTCAGCCAGGGCCGGGCCCTGCGCTAAGCTCAGTGCAGGTGGAATAGTCAACCCTGCTTCTCCTCCCCCTTGTGAGCTCTCCCCATGGCTTCTGGAGACTGGGACTGGTTTATCTTTCCCCAGTCATCACACTGCCTGGAGTGGTATCGCACTTAAAAATTGTGTTCCTTCCCCTGTTTGTTGGCATCTCCTACCGCCAGGTACTACTTTAGACAGAGAACAGAACAGACGTAAATTCTTGCTCCCCTGGAGCTTATGTTCTGGTGGCGGGAGATGGTGGTGCAGGCAAGGCATAAAGAGGAGAAGCTTGGAATATTAGATATATTTACATTTTTAAATTAGGGTTCTCTTTATTGCATTTATTTATATGGATCACATATTCCTCCTACCCCCACACCCACCAAATGGGCCATTCCTGGGCGTTCAAGGGGGTTGCGAGTCAGGGGTGCAGGGCAGGGTCCAATCCAGCTGTGAGATGTGAGACCTGCGGAGATTCCCTGCATCTCTCTGAGCCTCCAGGTTCTTCGTTGTCATTTAGGGAAATCACAGAGATTCCAGCCTCCCTTGGCTGGTGAGAGGATTCCATTGGCCCGCGAAAAGGGAGTGTTTTGTCGGCCAGGCAGCCCTGACACCAATAGACTAGAGGGCGGGAGGGAGCTGCCTGCTGACCCAAACGAGCGCGGGCGCGGGGCTTTTCTTGGTTACCCAAGGCCGCCCGGGTGGAAGCTGTGGCTGGGGGCGCGCATCCGTCGAGGGGGGAAGGGGCGTGGGCAGGCGGTAGTTGCCAGGAGTCCCGGGGCTTGAGTGCGCCGCTGCAGCACAGCCCGAGGTGGGGCGCGGCACTGCCCGAGGTGGGGCGCGGCACTGCCCGAGGTGGGGCGCGGCGCGCGCGGGAGCGCTGGGTGCGGCGGAGTCGGGTTTCAGAGCGCGGGTGACTCAGGACGCGGGCCGTGCTGGGATCCTGCCCGCCGCTGCCGCTGCCGCTACCCCTGCCCAGCGCCGCCTTTGTTCCCGGCAGGAGGGACGAGCGGTCCGCGCGCAAAAGTCCGTTGCCGTCTGCGGAGCTCGGCTGCCCGGTGCCCACGGGGGCCCGCGTAACTGCGGGATGGCGCCCAGGTATGACCCGCTGCCCCGCGCCCGAGTCCCCCGGCCCCTACCGCCCGCCTCACCTTTTCTCCCTCGACCACTTCTTGCAGGAGGGACGCACAGTGCTGGCGCCTGCTTTTGCTGCTTTCCACCTCCGCGCTTCTCCCCGGGGTCATTCGGACCCGCTCGGCGACAGGTAAGCAGCCGGGCCCGAGCGCTGCACCGGCAACCTCCGCGCCCCAGAATAGCTGGTCTTGGCGGCGTGAGCGGCTGCGGTGCGCGCCTCATTCCTGGACATAAAAGGGAGTCCTCGCCGCTCGGGGCGCACTGGCCGTTCGGCTGCGGCTTCCCCAGGCGGTGCAGGGGGTTCGAGGGGTGAAAAAGAGTCTCCAGGCGGCCGAAGCGGGTGGAGCAGTATCCTGGAACCCGAGGTGTCTGAGCTAGGTGCAGCCCTTTCAATCTTGGGCATAGAGGGACTTTGGAAGCCCAGTGAGAGTGCCAGCGGCCTCCGCTGGAACACTTCGCTCCAGCTAACCCCGCGCCCGCGCTCAGGTGGTGCGTGTCGGTTGGCTCATTGCAGGGCAGATGTGATGACCCGTCTGAACACAGGTGCGGAAGCAGGCCGCCACCACCTGGCGCTTGGCCGCGCAAGAAATAACGGGACCGAATTGCTCTGATACCTAACTTAGCCCTGAGTTACCTGGAGAGCCCCATCCATCGTGGGCAGTGACTCTGTGGATGATGGGGAGAGCTATAGACTGGGAACCAGGGGATCTGGTACCTTCTGTTCCTGGGCCTCTCTTCCCCCACCAGGACCGAGAGGCGGTTGTATGAAAAGTAAGAATCTGAGTTAAAATAGTTTTGGTCTAAGGTGTGTGGCTGAGTTAGGTGCCATTGGACAATGAATTTCACTACTCTGTGCCTCACTTTCCACATCTGAAAAAGGGGAATACTTAGACCACCTTTCCTCCTAGGGATGCTGGGAAGATTAAAAGAGATATTAGAAATAATATGCTTTCCACACCGTGGCACAAAATAAGTGATGGAAACTACAAGCTGATCCTTGCAGTAGCTGCGTTGGAAAGCATTGCAGGCATTTTTACAGCAGACGATACTCAGGGTGAGACAGGCTTTAGGAACTGTTCTGTGCTAAAGGCAGGGCTTGGGCCCAGGTCTCTAGGCTTTCCTTCCCTGCTCAGCCCTTTCTCCATGCAGTTTTGCAGGAGAACTACTGCTCTCCAAATAGTAGCCTCTGCCTGCTTTGGGATTTAGGAGATTAGTACACAGTCTCAACAGGAGTGAGTGTGCAGTGTGCAGGGAGACTGTGGGTGGGGGGAGACAACCTCTGTCCCTTGAAGGAAACTGAGAACTGCCTCGCAGGCTCTGGTTAACTGTGTGCCAGAGGAAAGCTGGGGCAGCCCAGACTGTGGCTCCTTAGGAGCAAGACTCAAAGGCCATGACAGCTTTTCCTGCCAGAGCGTCCAGCCTGGCATTTCTTACAGGTCAGAGGGCAGCTGGAGCCCAGTTTTGGCTTCTCAGCACTGTGGCCCATGTCAGAACGTTGCAATTTTGCATGTGATGTAGGGTACTGCCAACTCAGTGGCAGAGGGCATCTTCAGATTCTGTAGTCTTTTGTGAACTTTGCTGTAACCCCATCCCCCAAATGGAGAAGGTTCTGGAGAAAGAAAGTGTTTCTTTCTCCTCCTGCATTTGTAGGCTGGCTGCCTCAATGCCAGGTCAGGGCTGTTTTTCTAACATAGAGGAATTCCCGTAAATATCCATAATGTAAAAACGGACTGCCAGGAAGCCCTCAGGAGATGAAAAGGGCCTGGAGAGGGCTATTTGTAATTGATGGGTAATTGAGGAATATTCAATGTCCCTCTGGTATTCTGGAGAGAATCTTCCCAGATGTGGAATATCCTCTGCAGGTCAAATCTTACATGATGTTTATTGAGGCTAATGCTTGTAAACCACTTCATAGGTGTGTATGATACGTTCATACTTCATTCACCCAGTCCTCACAATCACTCCAGGAGCTGGGTACTGGGACTGTGCTCAGATGAGGAAACAGGGTCCAAAGTCCCAAGGCTTCTCAGCTCCCGAGGGTTTCCTGGCCCACCCTGTTTAAAGAGACCCTTGTCATGGGCCCCTTGTCCCCCACATCGACCTTTTGTGTCTGATTTCTTTCACTCAGCATGTTTTTGAGGTTCATTGATGTTGTAGCATGTATAGTACTTCATTTTTTCTGACTGAATAATGTTCCATTGTATGGATATAGTGCAATTTGTTTATCCATTCTTCCATTGATGGAGCCATTTGTGTTGTTTCAGCCTTTTGGCTGTTATGATTAGTAGTTTTGGACATTTGGGTACAAGGACTTGAGTACTTGTTTTCAATTATTTTCATTGTATACCCAACAGTGAAATTGCTGGGTTACATCATAATTCCATGCTTGAATTTTAGGAAACTCTTAAACTATTGTCCGTAAAAGCCGAACCATTTCACATTCCCACCAGCAGTGTACAAGGGTTCCAAGTTTTTCGTATCCTTTCCAACACTTGTTATTTTCTGCTTTTTAGGTTATAGCCATCTTAGTGGTACCTTTCTGTGGTTTTGATTTGCGTTTCCCTAGTGACTGATGATGTTGAGCATCTCTTTGTGTGCTTCTTGGCCATTTGTGGGTCTTTTCTGGGAGAAACTCTGAATTCTCATCAGGGCAGGTTCAGGATTTCCCGCTAATCCTCTCACTCTTGCTGATGGCCAGCTGATGTGCTTTCCTGAGTGAGGGACAAGGGGATAAAAGTCACACCTAGGATTTTACATCCCTGGCCTCCTGGCTTACCTGTGCTCTAGCCTGTAATGAGTTTCTGTTGTCTACATACCATTAGAAGTTGTGATGAATATGAGTGATTGTCGTATTTTAACTACTGGCTAAATTTTTGGTTTTCTCTAAAGTTTGGAATGCCTATGGTGGCATAAGGTCCTGCTTATGTGTTTCACAGCAGATTGAAAACTGTTTTACAGCAGGTTGAGGCTGAAAACCCCCGGCACCCTGAACCACTCACAGTTCCCCATGTATATTTGGGATTTTGTAGTCTCGAGCACAAGATGTGAATGAATCTCCCTGTCTAGAGTACACTTGCTCACCCTGTTTCTCTTTAGGGTCTAATTCTACCTCCCAGCTTAAACAACACCTCTTCCAGGGAGCCTTCCCTGGGTCTCCCCAGCTGATCTTTCTCATCGCTAAGCCACCATAGCCCTCCATCTATCTTTCCAGCAGCAGCCACTGTCTCACCCTGCTGACAATGTATTTATTTCACTCTTTTTTCTATGAGAGCACCTTGAGGGTGTGGATTATGCCTTATTCATCCAGAGTTTGCCACCTGGACTTTGGCCATTTCAACATTATGATAAATAGTGCTATTGGGAACATCTTCAGACAAATGCCCTTTGTTTTCCTTTGGGATCAATTATCCCTTTATTTAATAATTATTTAATAATTCCTTTAACTAGATTTCCCCAAACAGATTTGCCCATCAAATAACAGACTAGTTGGATAGTTCTTAATGTATATTTCGATGGGTCTTTCTGAGATACAGATTGAATCATGTTGCTCCTTAGTTTAATTGCTCTTGCTGGGTTCTCCTGCACCCAGGATGGAGTAATGCTTCTTGCCTCCAAGTCCCCCTTGTGTCCCACCTCTGTGTCTTTGCATGGGCCAGTGCCTTTTTGAGAATGCCTTTCCCCTTGTTCACCTAGCACCCCCCCATTCATCCTTTAGGACTCCTCTCTGGGAAGCCCTCCTATTCTACCAGGCATGTTGAGTGTCTCTGCTCTGGGCTAACACTATGCATCACCACCTCTCAGTCACAGGGCTTCCTAGGCTGGACCATGACCCCTGGTTACTCATCTGCCTCCCCTCCTACACGGGGATTCTGTGAGCCAGGGACTGGCCTTGCCCAGATCCTGAATCCCAGAACCTATCTCTGGGCCTGGCACAGAGTAGGTGCTCAGTGGCTCAAGAAGGGAAGGAATGGGCAGGTCCAGCCTGCGGTCTGGGGAGAATGCACCCGTTTACCACGTGCTCTAGTGTCTGAGTCCTCCCCATTTTCCCACGGCTCTGCCAACTGTGTGTGGAGTGGCCGTGGCCGAGTAATCAGGGCACGTTATAGGGCTTTTAGTTTAATTTAATGACTTTAACAACTAGTTAGGCTGGAATTTACCCTAATGTTACTTTGCTCTTTATCTTTTTTTCCATTACATCTATTTGTGTAAACAATGTATTTTCTAGCTTATCCCACTCATACCTGAAAGTCTATTTTGTCAAAAGCTGTGCATTTACCTTTCTCTGCTAGCTTAATATATGAGCTTATTTTCAAGTTTTCCTTGAATGTCCACAGTTTGATCCATTTAAAATGGACCATTGATTAAATAGATTATATAGAGTATATGCTGAGGTTAGTTCTTTTTCAAAGTGGTACACAGGAGTCCCTGAAATACTAATTAAAATGTAAACTATTTTTCCATCATAGCATTGCTTCTGGTTATCTTATAAAATTTTCTTTTTCATGATAGAATTTTTTTGTGTAATCTTTATACTATTCTTATGCATATGTGTTATTTTTTAAAAAATTCCACATGGTCCTGATAATTATTGTTTTGTAATATGTCTTAAAATCTGGTAGGGGAAGTTACCCCTTCCTCCTTCACTAAGTCATAAATCCTTAGCATAGACTGATTTATCACATAATTTTCTCATGATATGATTGGATACTGGGAGTGTTGTAGTGGTGGTGGGTGGGTGAGTGTTATTAAAAGTGAGGTAATCTTACAATAAGATTCATTTTAAGACCTTAATACGTGGTAAGGAGAACAGATGAGCAACTCAGACTTCACAGTCAGAGCAGCAGGTTGTGGGGCCTGAGTTACTGCTGTTGAGACAGAGTGCAGTTTGCTGAGATGGGTCAGAGGTGTTGGGAGGGGCCCAGTTTGCTCACTGACCTCCTTCTTCCTCTCCTTTACAAGAGAAAAAAAAGTATAGGGTTAGAGCAGAACCTGGAGAAGGCCCAGACCTCTTTCTGGGCAAGATCTAATGAGGCAACACGTGAGGCTTAGGTCACCCAGTGAGTACAACCCACTCCTTACCTCCAATCAGAATCAACTCAACTCAGCCCAACCTAATCCCAGTGCAATCCA